AGAATTAATTTAAAAGAGTGGCTTGTACTTAAAGACAAGATAGACAATCGCTATTGGAAACAAACTCAGATTTCGAATTGCAACAGAAATTATCTAAGGTATTTTTCACGTTCGCACGCAAGGTTCCAATTCTAACATTAAAAATTCCTTTTAATTCTCGGGATTAACGGGACAATAACCGTTCCCAAAAACACAAAGTCTGCTGGCAATGCCTGTGATACACAGCATTAAAGTCGGCAATCGAAACCTGTGAGCTTATCCCGGTGGTGGTCTTACTGCATTGCAGTATAGCTCATGTATTAGATGCAATGGAATATGTACAAAACAAAATCACCTGATGAAGGGGATACTTGATCTCAAACGTTCGTTACTTAAATTCGCGTTACGGCTTCACGAAATGTAAACATACAAAAACAACAACTCCTAAACTTGGTAAATATGTATTAAGATTTCCTGTTGTAAGTTCAAATCATTTACTTCGACTAAAGCGTCATTACAATATATTTGACTTTCAAGAAATATTGTATGCCTTTGGAACAGCGGCCCTAGTGACAAACGTAGGCAAATGTTCCAACCGAATAGAAATTTGAGTTAACTTTTACGCTATCGAGAACGTTAAAAACTCGTAATAAACACATAGTACTCATAAGCACTACATAGAAAAGGTAATTTGATAAACACTTCGAATTTAATAGCTATAACAACGGAAAAAACTCAAAACTCTTTAAAAATTCAACAAATTCACAGGACCTCTCTTTATTTACTATGAATACACCAATGGCTATATTTTGCCCAGAAATAGCCAAGCCGAAATGCTAATTCTAAAAGCGATCACACTTGTTGTTGGTTTAGATCTAATAAAAGACAAATATTTTTTGTTAATGCAACTACCCCTTAACGAATTTTTTTAAAGCGTTTTTCAAATTACAAACATTTCCCGAATTAAGTTTTTCTTTTAAATATTATTAAATTCATTGGAATTGGTTTTAAAATAATTTATTTAAGGTCCAAATAAACGTTTTACAGCTTCAATGTTAGTTCGTTTTGTGAAACTACATTTTCGCACAAAAATTGATCTTTCAATTACAAACAAAACATGCAACATAAAACATAGTTATATTAATAAATATGTATATATATATTTACTAGGTGAGTGGACGAGCTCACGGCCCACCTGATTTAGGGGGTTACCGAAACCCATAGACATCAACAACGTAAATGCTACCACCCACCTTAAGACGAGAGTTCTAAGGTCTCAGTTCTAACAGTACAACGGCTCTGCCACCCTTCAAGCCGAAAAGCATTACTGCTTCACGGCAGAAATAGGCAGGCAGGGTGATGGTACCTATCCATGCGGACTCAGAAGACTCCTACCACCAGTAACTAATTACGCAAACTCTAATTTTGCGGGTTTGATTTTTATTACACGATGTTATTCTTCCACCGTGGGAGTCAATCGTGAACATTTGCTAAGTACGTATTTTATAAAAAAAATTGGTACCCGCCAGCGGAACTCGAACACCGGTGCATCGGTAAATACAAATGCAGCGGACGTCTTATCCTTTAGGCCACGACGACTTCAATACAGCTGTTTAAGGTTCAGATCACGAGTTCCTACGACCACTTAACACCAAGTGAACTGTGGACTCGTTCAAACATCTACCTAATGAAATGATTTTAATACAAAAATGTATTAAAATATACTTACATCCCTATTTTAAATCTCTTTGAAAGTACAGAGCAATGCCCTGTGTAGGTCAAAATAGTTTATCCTTACCATATTCCAACATTATGGGTTTTCCATCTTTCTGGGAACTGATTGGCGTCACATCTTTAATTAGTGTCACTTTGAGTTGGGAAGTTTTTCGGATTTTAACAGACAACTACTAAAATGGTTTAAGATAATTGTTGAATAATCAAAACATAATATACATGCCTGTAAAATAACGTATATTCTAAGAAGGAATGTGATGACAATGCAGGAAATCTATGTATTGATATTAATATAAGTATCCTATATTCTATATATCTTCACATCATATCAATATAAAATTTTAACACAATAAAGGTAACAGAAAAAGTAATCTGTAATTTAGGTCTTGAAGAATCCGTGAATATGGTCGAATTTCGATCATTAGGCGACCATTATTTCAAGTCTAATTAAATAACCGTAAACAGTATTATATAAGATTTTATTGTAAATGATTTTGATATGGACTTTTAAAAATTTTGACGGTTAAATAATAATTGGAATTATCTTCATTGTTCTGAAGCTACTACTCGTCAGACATTCTTCATAGGATTTCTAAGATGTAAATAAGAAGTCGTCAAATCTTTAGTCACGAATTGTAAGTTCTATCAGATCATACTTTTTTTTTCTTTTTCTTAGATGGGTGGACGAGCTCACAGCCCACCTGGTCTTAAGTGGTTACTGGAACCCATAGACATCTACAACGTAAATGCGCCACCCATCTTCTAAGGTCTCAAGTATAGTTACAACGACTGCCCTACCCTTCAAACCGAAACGCATTACTGCTTCACGGCAGAAATAGGCAGGGTGGTGGTACCTACCTGCGCGGACTCACAAGAGGTCCTACCACCAGTAATTACGCAAATTATAATTTTGCGGGTTTGATTTTTATTACACGATGTTATTCCTTCACCGTGGCAGTCAATCATGAACGTTTGTTGAGTACGTATTTCCTTAGAAAAATTGGTACCCGCCTGGGATTCGAACGCCGATACATCGCTTCAACACGAATGCACCTGAATACTTTGGTACTTAATGGCGGCTCCGAGTACTGCAACAGACACCACTGGCAATTCAGTTGACTTTACCATGATATTCGCTTTATTTTATGTAGACAGAGTGAAGACGGATGCTACTACCTCGAGGTCAAAATTTCCGTTACATTGTATATCGCTTACCCTCATAAAGTATGGATCGGTACCAGAATACAGCTTATCCAAACGGTATTTTTTTAAGGGATTTTATGACCAGGTATCTGAGACCTTTAAGTCATGTCTTATTTTAATTTATTTTCTTATTTTTATGAAAAATGATGAAATGAAATGAAATGAAGATGATTAATTTGAGATATTAATCAACTGGGATGAAATCAAATTGAATAAGATGAGATAATATGGATTTTTTCATTGGACTTTTTGGAGGATCCCGAGAAGTTACGTCCGGCGGCTATGTTTCATTTTCTCACATTTGTACACTTTCACACATACTAAACAGTTAATAAACCACCGTTATTACACATTTAAACCTGAAGAAACACTAAAATAGACAAAATAAAACAAAATCACACAACTTCACTCCTCGCGTTCCCGCCAACAAGCCCAATGAAACGGTAAAATACTAATGGTGTTGCTGTATAATACGGAGCTATCACAGTATGATGAACTGATCCATCGACGACAGGAATCGATTCAAATTCAATCATAATCTACCCATCTTAAAAGAATAGCATTTCTAGAACTGTCAATAAGATGTAAAAATGTACGTAAATTTAGTATCCAATCAGAACTATATTTTGAAACGAAAAGTAAACAAGCAAAAAATTCAAGAAATAGACAGCAGAAAGGAAATATGAGGAAGTACTAACGTTGCATTGTTGCGAAGTCGACAGAGACTATCGAGTGCCAAAGATTGTGGTCGCGGAACTAGGATCGAGGCTGTGTTTATTGTATTACAGATTATGATCTAGAGGCAATACGCAATCTATTAGTATACGGATCTTACATACTCTACTTTAGCAATGCAATGACACTGCTACGTGACTTAACTCACTTTCACGGTTGCATGTAGGGGCCTTTAAGAAATAATAAAATCGTGATTTCTGTGCGACATTCAGTTTTCGAACACTAAATAAGTATGTAGCGTGCAACATTCGGTTGCACTCGGGCGTCATCGGTCACGATCGGAGTTCCCGAACGCGCGAATCTCGCAGTGTGACGTCACGGGACACCTGTGCTACAAGTAGGTCCTGTATGTAATCATACCAATTCTTTTATTTCTCTGCCGAGACAGACAATGTGGAACTTTGAGATATGTAACCGAAATTTGATCATGTACAACGCTTATCCCATGACAGAAAGAAGATCGCAATACCTATTTTTCGTTAAAAATATTTTCCCGTTTAGAGAAACATTTTTTTTTCGGACAGGCAAAAGTCATTCATTAGGTTTCGCACTTAAGGGGCCCGCGAGTCATATGTGTCTTAACGGCCACAGGCTCAAGGATGTTTTAGATCCCCACTCACCAAACGACTCCCCTTGCACGCTGCCACCTGATGTTCAATCTCCGTCCGGGGTCAAAGCCCCGACAGAGTAAGGGCTTCTTCTCACGGACAAGCACTACGGGATGGCATCCCGGAGAATAGACAATCCTAACTCTAGAATATTCAGAGTTTAACTTTAACTTAATTACATGTCAGATTAAGACTAATAAGTATTAAGTCGTAAGTTTTAGTGCTTTCTACGGTTGTGTCGTTTTAGAACTAAGTGATCGACCCCTGTTCTGGATATCGAACAGGGTCTCACACATAACCTGTCGTCGCTCTAGGTTGTGTATAAAAACAGTGATGGTCATTACACAAATAAAACACGGATATCTTCGAGAGGTCGAATAAACGTCATCCGACACAACTCTGGGACCGAATCCGTTTACAATCTACCAAAATTATGTGGTTGAATAAAAAAGGCATAAATTACTACAGTAAAGATGTGAAGAGCACACTCAATGTCAAATGTCGACGTATGTGATTACCTTACCTTACGTAAACATCTTGTTATTATCCACAAGTCAATACGGAGTCATTTGTAATTCGTGTGCCTACACGGATTCTCGGAGATTCCGGCTCACTACGGAGTATTTAATACGTTCTGTCACGATCGCTGTTTTACTATCTACCTACTTTTTTATTGACTTTTTCCCACGATACTTCATTGAGCTGAGTTGTAGTAAAATATTTTACAGCAGATGAACATTTACGAAGAAGCCAGTGATGTGTACATACCAATTTATTTGAACTAGCAATCAATTAACAGCACCCAATTTTGAACGTTCTTTTATTGCTAACTTCTAGAAACACGTTTCCGATCGCAGTATCTGTTAACGTTCGTATATTAATGTTGTCGTAATTTTTCGTTTGGTTCATCGAATATATTTTCTCATTGTCGTTACGCAAGAAGACAAAGTTCACGGCCGACGAGCTTCATCATTGGTCAATTTCAGTTGAGCTGTGGAATCGAACAAGGCGCGTCTAGATTCCTAGATCGGAGGCTGCATCCGGGCCAGCGCAGGGATCGAGTTACAGCGGGGGCGTGCGAATGTCAAGGAACCCCGACCGTCAGCGTCACGTTCGCGCACTGCTGCCTTCGGTGATCAGTCGCAGCCGATATGTCTGCGCGCGCGCCAGCTTATCGCCCGGCTCTTGGCGTTCTCGTTGCGCTTGCTTTTGCCACGCGACTTGTCGGTAAGTACGTCTATCGAACTACCCGAAAATACATTTTTGTTACAGAGTAAATAACACTAGAAATTAGTAAATGTTAGCTTTAACCGTAATTAAATAAAAACTATGTCTAATTTTCAGGGAGTGATGACATTAACTGCACCAGAGACGGGCTTTATGCCGACTACGATAAAGAATGCAAAGAATACGTCCGTTGTTCCGGCGGAACAATCACTGGACGATATACGTGCAGATCAGAACGCAGTTTCAGTGAAGTTGCTGGTGCGTGTGTACCACAACAACGTCGACCGTGCGTCCGCCGCGTATGTACACCTGGAGATACCCTAGCCTATGCCATGCCCGGGACGGCTTGCAAGCATTATTACCGCTGCGAAAACGGAACTGCTGTTGATCGAGCATGTCCTTCCAGTACGTGGTTCGATCTCGACCGTCAAGCCTGCGCTCGAGGGGCCGGAACCTGTTATGAACCCGTTTGTGCCGGCCTCCCCGATGGTGAATATCCTGATTCATCGCACGAATGTCGTCGACTTTTACGTTGCGTCGGAGGAGAGTTGCGCGCTGTTGTATCGTGTACCAAGGATACCTGTGCTACTGCCTGTCCATCACCACGATCGGCCGCGGTGCCGATACCGGCCGGCGATGCCGACTTCTGCTCCGACGAAGCTTGCTCGTCTTTATGCCAAAATCAACCTAATGGTGCTTACGCTGATCGCACTGCCGGATGTCGGGAATATTTCGTTTGTGAGACTCATCGAGTTATTCGTCGTGGTGTTTGCGAGCCCGGCATGCTATTCTCGAAAGCGGGCTGTGAACCAGCTACACGAGCGATATGTCCTCCGCCTGCGCTCAGTCCGTGTTTCAACCGTCCCGACGGCATGCATCGTGATTGGCGCTCTTGTTCATCGTGGTTCGATTGCAGAAGAGAGCGGGTAATTTCGAGAGGAACCTGCGCCACGGGGCTTGTCTTTGACGGGACAGGTTGCGTTCCGGCAACACAATTTCCATGCGATGGACCCGAACGATCTCAAGAGTGCGAAGGTCTTCCAAGTGGAACTTATCAAGATTTAGATTCAAACTGTACAAAATATTTCCATTGCGAGGGAGCTTCGCGCACTGTGCTCAGTTGTGGAGTCGGTCTTGTGTTTGACGGCGCTCGATGTTCACCTGCCGAACAATACTTGTGTCCGAGTCTAGAGAGAGACTCTTGCTACGGCAAAGCCGACGGTCGGTACCGCGCGGCGGACACTGGTTGTCGCGGCTACTACTCATGCGTGGCCGGTGAGAAATCTGTTTACGCGTGCCCATCTGGTAGTGTCTTTGATGGTGAAGCCTGTGTGCCTGCGCAACCCGGCATTTGTCCCAGAGAAGATTACTCCTGTGACGGTTTATCAGACGGCTACCACCCAGAGATAGAATCCGGTTGCCATAGGTGAGTCGAAGTGCAATTAAAAAACTAATTTAGATCAAAAGATAACCAAAATTTTTTTTCAACAAAAATTCACGAACCTTTTGAACGAAGTTAATATTTTTACAAACATTACAGATATTTCTACTGTGAGGGCGGAGACCGCCTAGCCACGCTGTCTTGCTTAGGAGGCAAAATATTCGACGGGCACGCGTGTGTGGAGACTCCGCACCACGAGTGCGGCGCGTTACCATCTAATTCAATCGAGCGCGGCGGTCCAGAATGTGAACGAGACGGATTCTTCGTGCAGGAGGGCACCGGCTGCAAACGTTACTACTTCTGTGTCAGCGGCAACAGAACGTACCTGACGTGTCCCGAACACAAAGTCTTCAACGGGCAGGTGTGCGTGCCGAGCTCGCAGTACTCGTGTCCAGGGTGAGGGGATGCTGCGACTCGCAGGCACCGCCCGGATCCCTTGCGACCCTACATAACCCCACCGGGAGACACGCGACACCCCACCGGGAGATGCGACCCCCGCCGGAACATACAGTTTACGTATGCGATACCGATCCATTGACGACTCCGCCTTTAGAGTAAGATAAACTGATATAAGCACGGAGAGTTTCTGTACTTTAAGTAAAATAGAGCAGTAAATGCGAGTGTCATGTGAAAGCACTTTATACGCTTACCGCCTTTCGGTTTAACTGCTCAACAGAATTAATATCGTTTTTCATAACATACATTAAATGCGTAGATGATACGAGCTCACGGCATATTTAATGTCAAGTGGTCATCTGTGTGCTTACTGCGAGTTTTTTAACGTTCTCGATAACGTAAAAATTAACTCAAATTTGTATGGAGTTCGAACGTTTGTCTGCGTTTGCCGCTAGGGGCGCTGTTCCAACTGCATACAAATTTGAGTTAACTTTTACGCTATCGAGAACGTTAAAAAACTCGCTCTAAGCACACTTAACCTATAACGTGGATGCCACCAACAAGTTAAGACATGAAATCTAAGCCTCAATTTTATACTAGGACGGCTCGGCTTCTCACCTTTTTTGTTTCTGTTAAAACTAGGCAAAAATATTTTGTAATTTATATAACGTATCAAGAAACTCTCCTTGTGTAAATCAGGCTCAATCCATCTGATCCCCTCAAAATGATACACGGACAGTTCTTACTCTCTTTTTATTTGCATAATACTTTAAGCAGACCTAAAACGTAAACATGAATAATACATTTATAATGTTTAAGTAAATCACCCGGCAGGGACCATATCGTACAGTATTATAATATATTAAACGCCAAGTTAAGCTCCGAGATTATACAAATAAGATATATTTTAAGGAAAAATAATTTATTTTAATTTTAGTATAAATTATGACATTAGTTGCTATTTATACCAGCTTTAATCGCATTCGGTTATTCAATAAACTTTTTAGATTAAAATTAAAATATATGACATTATCGTATTATAATTAAGCAAAACGACTAAAAAATTAACTTTAGAAACAAGGTTATTGATTCGTCTTTTACATGAGAACATTCGGGATTCGAATCAAAATAAAATTACTAATAACAAAGACGCAATTTAAAATTTAAACAACCCTGTTCCTTTTATTAAGAAAAATCTTGCAAAATCATCTTGTATGTGCTTAATAAACACGTACTAATATTTTGGAAAATGTTTTTAAGCGCAAATTAATTATATACGTAAACACTAAATATTATTATATAGTTTGAATAAATATGAATTCCATACATTACAGTTATTTATTTAAGAGGCCTACATTTTATACAATATTTTATACATAATTTTATACAATATGATGTTAAAACAATAGTTACATTTCGATTCACTCTTCTTCATACCCGTTTGAAATATGGAAAATGGAAAAATTCAAGTTTCAAGCGTTTTCTTCAATTATATCCAATCTACAAATACATTTTTTAGGCTAAACAGATTATATAATTTTTGTAGAATAACAAAAATAACTTCACATTATATGATACATAAATGTGTACAATGTTGACATTAAATTGAAAAGCCGACAAATTAATATATTCTAGATTTCTCATTTTTTAAATCAAGAATAATATTGAATACACATAATACATATATTTTTTTCTAGTTATTAACAATACTATAACAATTCTATTTACAATAAAAATTTGGTCCACGCCATTTTAATGTCGTTTAAAGGTTTTTTTTTTTATCACGTTTAATAAAATATAATGAATCGAATGCATTTATTTATTTTATATGGATGGTGAGACAGGCGCGACCGAAATCGTAACAAGGAAACATTAACAAAACTAAATTTCAAAATTATTACATTAATTTCAATACATATTGACATATTGATGATATTGATGAATGAAATTTTCAATTGATATTATTTTCAATAATAATATAATAAAATATAATACAAAAATACTTTCTTATTTAATTAACAAGACAAGGAATAGTCGCATACATTAAGCACCTCTCTCTATCTTCATCATAATCAATAAGCAGTATGCTCGTTATGAAATTGTAGGACCACAAACTTGTATCTTTAGCCTTCAATTAAATTTCTACTTGAAGCCCGGCAATCGGGGAGCATAAACCTAAACTAAATAAAATATAATAACCCAGCCTGGGGTTCAGTATACTTGAACTTGCTAAAACCATATCTTTTTTGTTTATCTTAAGCAAATGAATATTTAAAGTAGATATAATTAAAATAGATATAGTTAAAGTAGATATATATATACAAATTTGAGGCATTAAAAGGTGAAAATAGACAAATGAGAATGAGACAAAACGCTTTTGTACTCACTTGTACGACTGGTTAATTAAAATCAATAAAAATTCTGAATGACTGATGAGGTATATTTTTGATCCTAAGCTTATTGTCCGACAAGTTTTAAGTAAGAGTAAGTTACATAATTGATATATCTAAACATTAAAAGTATTTAACGTTTATTACAAAGGAAAATGGAAAAAAAAACTTTCAAACTTAACTAAGTATTATATTTAAGTGAACATTTAAAACAAACAAACCTTTAGACTATACGAATAAAATAATGACTCGTATTAATGGCTCGAATGTTCCAGTGAGATTTTTATTTTATTTTTATTTACATAAAATATATTAACTGTGCGGTTGGCAATCCATAGATAGATATTTTAGTCTAGTAATTTCTCGATTTAATATATTCCGTATGAATCAAGTTCTCGTTTTAAATACTGCTTCTGTGTGTAATAAATTGCACAATTCCAAGGATAGTTTCCAAATATGATTGAAGCTTCAAAAAAAATGTCTCCTAACTGATAGAAGTATTATTGTTTGATGTGTAAAAGGCCCTCTGTCAAAAATTAGATCCTTCAAAATAATAGCGCCTTGTTCTTCTGATCTCTAAAAGGATTATATTTAAAAATCAAGATCGGCTATTTTATCTATAATACAATAATACAAGAACTAACAACTTTTGAAGCCACCTGTTCAAACGATAAATAAATTTACATTGATAAATAATTTATTGTACGATGACACTAAAATCGAATGTGAAATTTTTAACTGAGACATAATAATAAAAAATACATATAAAACCAGTTTTTACTGGTGGTAGGACCTCTGGTCAGTCCACACGGGTAGGTACCACCGCCCTGCCTATTTCTGTCGTGAAGCAGTAATGCGTTTCGGTCTGAAGGGTGCGGGTCGCCGTTGTAACTAAACTGAGATCTTAGAACTTATATCTCAAGGCGGGTGGCGCATTTACGTTGTAGATGTCTATGGGCTCCAGTAACCACTTAACACCAGGTGGGCTGTGAGCTCGTCCAACCATCTAAGCAAAGAAAAAAAAAACAGTCCAAATGAATAGCTAGTGAGAGATATTTTTATTGGCTTTTTAATTTAATTTATCTTAAATTGCTTTTAAAATCAACGAAATCGTATACCTTTTGATTACAGTACAAAATGAATAGAGTCACTCCAGTACTTAACAGGGCACATTTTTAACATAAATAAAAACAATTCCTTATTACAATTCCCACTATCGCTTACAAAATCAAAATAGGGATATATTAATACTGATGATAAAGAAAAATTCCAATAGTGCCCGTATTACTTTTAAATTAAATAAAAAATAGTATTTTCTTAGTCAGCAACACTAACAAATATTTTACCTCCGAGGTAATAGTAAACGCGAGATGACACCGTACCTACAATCTATGTATGTATAGACACAGCGTTAGTGTGCTTCAACAGGGCCACAATAAGACAATTATTATTTTTGTATGGAAACTATCGACATACAAGTCTATTTGTTATAGATAAATTGATTAAATTTTATCTATTAGTGGTTTCTGAAAATTTACTAAATCCTTCATTAAAAATGAAATATAGGATAAGCAATTTGTTACTGCCATCTACAGGAGCAATGAGAAGTTAATCGAAGCGAAGCCATCTAGTGGTCGATGCCCGTAAACATTTTTGTTGAGTTGAGTTGAGTTGCTTGAGTTGCTTATCTATAACTAATTTTTGCGTATTATCTATGTGCTTCAAGACTCAGTCTGCTGCGGACGTGCTGCCAACCGCACGCTAAACACACGGAAAATACTTTAAAGCAGACGCTTTTTTGAATCTTCTAGAAACTTCGATTAAAATTTTCTAAATATAAAATCATCAATTGGAATAACACAAGATCCAGATATAGGGCGTTTTTTTTCTTTCTCTGAAAATTAAAGTCAGTCTTGTATCAAACCAGAAGAACACTCGTTTGAACCAATAACAAGAAAATATAATATTTTAACAATTAAATAATAATTTCTTTCACCTAATACAGAGTTTTTAAACGGAATCAGTAAGTTGCAATTTTTAATCTTAATGCCTTGACGCAAGGTTCAGGTTTTACTGTACACACATTTTTTTATGTGATCGAAACGAAGAGGATTTTTGATTTCGTCAAACAAAGCATGTCTTAATTGTGTAACCAAAAAATTTAAACATTTATTCTGTCGCGAAAACCTTGCCTTTTTTTTTCGTTTTTGGTAAATGTGTCTTTATATCCGACACCGATAAACGCGTGTTCGCTTTTCAACGCTTAAAATTAACAGCGCAATGAGCATTGTGTGCCTCTCGCACCGAGAGCACGTCGCGTGGTACAGAGTTGACAAGCCACGCGGACTGGCTCCGACTCGGGTTTGCCTTTATTGATGATAAATTTAATGACAAGCCTAAATACTCTGTAGGCCAAAACAGCTTACAAGCGACAAACACTATAACGCCATTTATTGACAAAAACGAGAACAAAATAAATTTTTGTATACAGCGCCATCTATTGGCCAGGGATGCTAAGTAAATCTTCAGTAAAACTTGATCCTACACATTAAGAATGTACCGGTGTGGGGTTACTGCTCGCTGGTCCCAGGTTTAGGCGCCGGGGCCAGCAGCACGCCGACGTCCCACACCTTGATGACGCGGTCCTTGCCCGCGGTGCACATGCGGCCGGTGGCTTCGTCGACGTACAGGGATGCCACCGCATGCTTCATGTCGTGGAATGTCGCTAGAGACTCCCTCCTTTTTACAAATTAAAACAATACATATATTTAAGGTGACAAGATACGATTTTACTAAAGTATATTTGCAGACAGACATGAGCTCGAAGCCTTAATAGCTTTAGTGGGTAATCAATTCATCATACTAAATAGATATTGTTCTTCGAGAGAACCGTTTTCGAAAACAGAATAGTGTTCGCGTATAGTTGTTTTTACAATCCCCACGACTATGTTTTTAGAACGCGTATTCTTATTTTCATTTATATTGAGGTAGTTTTATTTGTGTTCCATTGCACTCTACTTACGTAATGATAAACATATAAATGTTTTATTTACTTACGGTTCGTGACGTAGAGTTTCGTAACACACGGTACAGACTCGTTGGGGAAATTCGAAACCCATGACGGGGAGTGGCAGCCTGTGCGGTGAGCAAGTAGCGCACACCGCCGCGCCACACCAGCGGCAGTGGTGCTGTCGGAGACCTTAAGCCGCGAGAACAATATTATATGGTTACCAAATGATATTATCATTTATCTTCCTAACAATCTTGAGCGCCAGAATTAAAGCTATCACAAATACGAAGCTAATCTTGAGCACACATCAAAACACAGCCTTCATATTTCGAATCATGTAACTCGCATAACAGACATGCAACATATAAACAAGATTGTTATGCCGGCAAGAGTAACGCCATCTGTCGCCGAATAGCCAAACGAATATCGAAGGTACTAGTAAAAATAGAGAAGTACAACGCCATCTATTGTTAGATAGCAGAAACACACATCGAAGCTACTCAACTTGCCCAAAATGTACTCGATAAATATAAGGATATCGTATCGACTATAAAAGCGTTGCAGAGATGGCACGCAGTTAGTTAGCAATCGGATCCACTCGCAGCGAAACAGCGAACGGACCACCTGTAGCGAAGCGGAAGAAGTGAATGAAGAATTTTAAAGTGTTCTGTGAGTGTTCTAAGTGTTAATTGTATGTTCGTAGAATATTTATTTATCCCGAACCCCAGCGCGTAACAATATTATTTACTTATCCAGTTATGAACAGGTGGGATTGAACTCGATCGGATCGACTACAGGAGGCCTCGTTTAACTTGTCTTTTCAAGATTTTAACACTTGAACGGTACACTCACCTAATTGTTTTTTCTCCATCATTGCCCTGACGTTCCATATAAACGGCGCCCTGCAGATCTGGCAGAGGTCGGACTCCTTCCACGCGGGGGTCTCTCTCCTCTTGACGCCCATCTCCCACACGCCCAGAGCGCCGTCCTCGGCGGCCGACATCAATCGCTCACAGCTGCCGACGTACCAGAGGCCCGTTACCTTATTACTGGAAAACATATAAAATGGATAAATACATAAATCATATGCGAAAAAGCTTTCTTCATTATATTCGTTTTCATTTAGTGTTACGATCTGAGGCTGAGAACTCTCAATGAAATAATAATTAAAACTAATGTATTTATTACAACGCTAAACGTATACTGCACTATCGCAATCCACTATTTCTTCGTTTTCTTGAGGTGACCCGCTTCTTTTCGAATAGAATTGTTTCTGATCGCCAATGCAGCGCTATTACAGTGATATCGACTATGTCTGCGTTTTCTAGAACATTCTCGGTACAATTATAACATTTGAGAATGTCCTAGGCTCATATTTTTATATCAAGAACATTCTCGAGACTATTAGAACATTCACGATCAAACTGAAGGACTACAGATGACTGAACTGAACAGACTGAACATTCAAGAAATGTGTTAGGTGTTTCTGCTATTTGACGACAGGTCGCGTTAATCGCACCGGCATAAAAATATCAATTCGCAATATGTATTAATAAAAGAACAGGGAGGAGTATTTACCTGTGACCTTGGAGTTCATAGGCAGTTCCTTTCTGACCACCGATATCCCAAACAATGATAGTTTGGTCGAAGGAGCCACTAAACAAGAGCTGAGGTAACGGTGCCCAATTCAACACTCGGACAGAACTGCAAATATTATTATAAAGTTAAGTTAAGTTTTCCATATTATGTCAAATATTGACGAGGGTCCTCGGCGTTCATTGAGGTAACACCATGGATTGATTCAATGGTTTATTGACAAGAATAATTGAGGCCGTCAGCGCAAAAGTGGCCAAAGCTTACTATAGTCAGTATGGAGATAATGAGGTTCGAATTTACCTTTACAATACTTCGTAGGCAAAAAAATACGCGCTAAAATGATGTTTACAAAGTCATCTATTATCTATGGATGAAACTAGGGATAGGCCGATTTTGCATCAAAATTTATTATGTTTGAAATAAATTGCAATACATAAATACGAATATGAATTGTGGGTTAGGAGGCCACTTTTGCGTTGACGGCCACAATTAATATCGACAAAATTTATAAATATGTGTACTAATGCGTCTACGTGAGTCCTACATATAGATAGTTTCATCGTCAATATTTCTGACGCGATTCTTCAAAATATCAATGTATTCTAATCGACAGAATACTGATGCTATTAGGTGTTTTTTTTCCTTTGTAGGGAAGCACTGGTGAGTTTAGTCAATACAAACATATACTAAACATAATAAAAGCAAAACACATGGGTGCTTAGTTTAATAAGGAAACAGGAACATGATTCTTATCAATATACTTATTACATGGGTATAACTATGTTGCCTATTCTCCCTATTAGAGGAGGGTGGGGAGTCGGCTATGCTCATCGGTAAAATTTGTTTATGTCTAATACTTTGTACGTAGCTACGCACTTATTAAATACCAGCTTTACGTCGGAAGCTTGCGTGGGCTACACTCTAAATACCGTGGCAGGAGAAGCGTACTCCGCAATGGGAACAATGTAGCAAAAAAGGGTAGAATATAAATTCTTTCCGAGATTTCATAGGGCTACAATTTGCGTATTGCGTTAAAATCGTTCTGCTTTAGAACCTGTCGTGGAATGCAACCTCTTTAACAGGACATAAGACCTATAACGACTAGACACAGACTAAGACAAAAACTTGACAAGAAATCAAAAAGAAATGGAACGAGGGCGGACGTGACTAGCGGCAGGCAGTACTTTTTTTGACTTCCTAAAAGACGGACACGAACCAGACGACAAGGAACGAATTGACCGTTCTCATATGTACATAAAATAGACGACAAAAGAACTAACCGACCGTTCCAGACGTGAAAACGTACAAAGTCACTTTCGTGTTGATAATATGAAATAGTCGTTTAGACAACGACATGACAACTTCATAATATTAATACGTACCCCAAGGGAATACGCAATAATTTAATTAGTATTAAAATATGTAGATACTATAGTATACGTGGATGTTAAAATTATTCATTACGTAATAAATATTTCACGGACTAGCTGACGTGGACAAGGTTGTAAGCTTTGGAAATTTATTTGATGGACTATTTGAAGAGAAATATTCGAAGTTTTTATTAATATCTACGTACATGGAGGTACATGTATAATTTAAGGTGGAAGTCACGATAAGGCTCAATAATACTGGTGGTAGGACCTCTTGTGAGTCCGCATGGGTAGGTACCACCACCCCGCCTATTTCTGCCGTGAAGCAATTTGAAGGGTGGGGCAGCCGTTATAACTATACTGAGAACTTAAAACTTATATCTCAAGGTGGGTGGCGCATTTACGTTGTAGATGTCTATGGGCTCCAGTGACCACTTAAAAACAGGTGGGCTGTGAGCTCGTCCAATCATCTAAGCAATAAAAAAACACAAAGGAGGAAGAAAATGAGGAGGAAGACCGTCTAAAGAAGCCCATAAACTGATTGAAAACAGCTACCCTACCTTTCAAACCGACAATCACGATTAGTAATAATAATAAATAAATAAATGGGAACAAATCACGCATGGTCATGCGGCCCCAAATTAGGATTCCTAGTGTTATTGATAACAGAGATTGATATAATAGATAATAAAACCATGACAACCCACCCATCCAGAAAAGAGTAAAAAACAGTTCATCAGACGAATTCTTTCCCGATGTGGGCATCGAACCCTCGGCGCCACAGTAAGGGGCGGTAATTACTGCACCACCGAGTCAGTCTAAATTATTTTAGTACCATTAGTTCGTGGAAATAACCAGAATTACGATACGAAATATTGATGAACGTCATTAGACGTCAAATTAAAATGAACTCTTTCATTTAATTACGGTATGTGTCACGTACCTCAAACAAAGAACGACTATACAATAGTATCTACAAGTATGTGTTTAGTCTAATGTTTTATGATAAGAAAAGTAATCTATATATTAATACGTGAAGCAAAAACTTTGTATCCCTTTTTACGAAAATTGCGCGGACGGAGGAGTATGAAATTTTCCACACTTATAGAGAATATAGAGAAGAAGTGCACAATGCTAATTTTTTTTTTAAATAATACATAAAAGATACATTAAATCAATAAAGAAAACATTACACACACTACATACCATGTATTCGACGCACACACGCATGCATACTATTTATTGTCAAACTTTTGTTCTTGACGTCTGTTGTCAAATTGAGATTAAATATTGTTTGTCTTTGTTAATATTTTTATAGTGTAGTCTTGGCGAAATTTGTGATTATAGAAGTATAAAATACAATCATAATAGTGTACAAGCTTACAATTCCAAATAATTATAGTCGAATTTCGACTACTGCGGGACCTCTAGTTCATTTTTAATACGCTTTTATTAACTTCAGACGTATGTATGTATGTTTGTAACGGAATCTTTGAACATGATTTTGACCCCCTTCAAAACGTCGGATTAACTCGAAATTTAGTATACTTATTAAGGACCGATGACGATTCAAAATTAAAAAAAAATATATGAAAAAATTGAAATTCAACTAAGAAATCAAAAATTAATAATAGTTTAAAAAAACTAACAACATACGCTTTTATAGAAAATCCCAGCTAAAAATAGAAAATAAATTTGAATTGAAAATAGTGTAAAAAAAAATTATTTTATTGTAAAAAAGCGTGGGGTGCATGGTATAAGTAGTTATTCATAAAATATTTCTTGGATTTAAAAGGGTATTTTGTTAGTTTTTTTTCAACTATTATTTATTCTATTATGGTCCAGCTCATATTAATTAGGGGCCATCTTTACTTTTCCATCAATATACATACTTAAGTCAGCGTCTGTATGAAAACACACAATGTTTTCTTTTATCAAAATGGTAATATTTAATTTGTTGATTTTTCACTAGGCCGTACATGTCTCGTTGAGACCTTGATATAAATTTAAAGGTCTCTCGAGAAAAGACAGCTCCGAAAACAATTATATCAAAATAAATTAAACACATCTGTTTCATGAATTTGAACAGATAAGGTCGTTTAATTAGCGTTATATCGTAGTTTATTTCTGGTATAGGTACCTGGCCTAGTGGACTGGGGACTCAGATATTTTTTGGGGAGGCAGATACTGGGCAAAATGTATTGCGGTTATTTGGAAGCCATATTAGCTTCTAAAATGTTGGAAGCCACGAGGGCAAAATGTTACTTCACGCCTGGTCAGAAACTTACGTTAGGCAAAGTAGATAGGTTCAGCCTGCTGTACATTTACTGTGTTTGGGTGGATTCCCCTAAATACCTGATACTATTATTTGACTGCATAAAGACGAAAGCCGTTGGGATTGTCAATAATCCAACCGCATGGAACTTCTGGATCTACCAAGACTGGTGTTCTATATTCTGTACCGTATGTTCTGAGGATGATTTGGGCTGACACCGCCAATTTACTAAAGCATTGCTACTGCCGAAGCATAGTTCTATCCATCTGACTTTTCTAGCATCGCCAAGAGTAGCAACACCACATCTGTTCCCATGAATGCCGTAAAAGACGACTGAAAGCATGTAATGGTTGTAATATATTTTGTGGGCTTCGGAAAGTCGTCGTGGCCTAATGTACATCAAGCAATACAACACGCATGCAACGGTGTTCCAATCCCGCAGGCGGGTACCAATTTTTCTAATGAAATACGTACTTAAGAAATGTTCACGATTGACTACGACGGTAAAGGAATAACATCGTGTAATAAAAATAAGCGGACAGTGGCTCGATTTTAACGCAGAGTAACTCTCGGCATGGTTGATGTCCATGAACAACTATGACCACTATGCTAGTCTAGTTGCTAGTCTAGTTACGAAGTTCATAAAAAGTTAGTATAACAAATAATAAATACACCATAATATGGGTACTTTTTTTTGTAGAGAAAATAGCAAAATCGTACATTATTTATCACTTTGTGTACAAAAATGATATCTTTTCAATGTCTTATCTTATTGTTTAAAGTATATTGTTACACACAGGTTACAAGGCTATGACAGATGCAATATCAACACTAATAGGAATTTAACTACACTAATTAAGGTGGATCACAACATTCACGTTACAGTTTCTATGGAAGTTATATTACAGATGAACTGTAGTAAATAATAGTTGAAAATAGAGTCGTAAATAATTTCTTTCTATTACAAAACTAAAAATAAAAACGAAATAACGTTTTGTTTTTTGCAAACCATATGTACCATTTAATAAATACTAGCGACCCACCCTCGCTTCGCTTCGGAAACATTAAATTTTATTATTGATAGGCGAAGCCCGCCATATTGCGCGCGGTACGACAATAACTGGGGGTGACGCCGCGGGCCGAAGCTAGTTTAAAAAAAGTAGCCTAAGTTACTCCTTATATCATCAGCTACCTATTAGTGAAAGGCTCATCAAAATCGGTCCAGCCGTTCCAGAGATTCGCCGAAATAAACAGACAGACAGACAGACAAAAATTATAAAAAATGTTATTTTGGTGTATGTACCGTATATATATTCATATGCATGTAGTAAAAACCGGTTATTTCAATATTACACTCAACAGACACTCAAGTTTTATTTATATGTATAGATAACTGTGTCTAGTACATATTGCACTTTTTTTTCCTACCTAAGCTGATGATAGCCTTGAGGGCTATGTCAGCGTAACCTAACAAGTAGGTGAGCTCACGGGGCTCAAACCTGATGACGTTGCTAACACTAACCCTAACAAGAGCAGTGCTTCGCAGAATCTACCACCAGATCGGAAACGCGACCCACTTAAAAGATCCGGCGAGAAACTCAGTGGATTGTGTCTGTGGGTTAACTCGCCGAGCCCTTCATCGCAAGCGACGGGTTCGACAAGGACAATGACCGGTGCTTGAGGTACCTAAAAGCACCGTTAATGGATCGGGTGGATCCGAAATGACGTGTTTAGGGCAACGTCGACTGTTTACCATTCGATCCGCGGGATCGGCAAAATCTGACGGGTAAACACTACATGAACCGAATTTAGACAAAACACATTGTTTAGGAATTAATAGTTTATTCTCACCCGGTGTGTCCTTTGAGTGTCGTAACTAATGCCGCTCCGTTGTTATCGAGTTTGAGCATGGTTATCTGTCCGCTGTAGTCGCCTACAAATGCGTATTTCGACTGGGAATCAAATCTAATAATTGGATTATTCAGGAAATTATGTTGTTATTACTTCCGGTGAGTGGCATCATTCATATTATGTCTATGGATTCGGATTACCAGTGTTTTATCTACCTAAATTTATTTTTACACACAAAACGTTAAAATATTATTCTTTTCACTGCAGACAATGATTTATATAAGCATTATTACATCACAAAACTATGAAACATTAATTGAAGCCTATAAAAAGAATTTTTTGAAATTATCTTCTAGTAAAATACTTTCCGTGTTAAGTAATTAAGATTATTCTAGTATAAAAGGATACTGCAAAGCTGTGCACCATGCTTCAAATGAATAGCCCCCGATTCTTCTGCCTGTTTCACTGCAGTGATATACAAAGAATTTATCCCTGCTCACCGACAATACCCATTCACAGCTGAGGGAGAACGTTACGGCTGTGACTCGTGCTGTGTGTGCCAGATATTCTCTTGTCTAATAAACAAACATTTGGTCAGTTGTATATTATCATTATTTACATAAGTTGGACATTATATGATTTAAGCATTCTTCTGTTATACTCTCATACATAGAAAGCAGACAAACATGTCACACCTGATGGTAAGTGATCATCAGCAATGCCAAGGCGCTGCGTACCATAGTGCTTATAGAAAAATCACATATAGGAAAACCATCAGCAGATTTGACTAGTCTACCTGCCTTTCTTGTTGAAAATACTTCTGTGTTTTGGTTTCTGAGGTAGCTATTAATGTAGCTTACTGGTTTTTTTTTTCGTAATTATATCCCAATGTTGTTCATTCAGTGTCGCAATCCTCGCGGAACAGATGGCCGTTGGGGCCAGAAGGTTCTTGAGTGGCGACCGCGTACTGGGAGACGTAGCGTGGGTAGGCCTCCCACAAGGTGGGCCGACGACCTATTAAGGTTCGCGGGGATCCGCTGGATGCAGGCAGCGCAGGACCGGTCTTTGTGGCGAGGCTTGGGGGAGGCCTATGTCCAGCAGTGGACGTCCATGGGCTGATAGATAGATAGTTGTTCATTGTTCTCACATTGCCATATCTATGGGCTATGATTACAACTGTTAACTGGGGAACTTTGAGTTTGTTTGTCCTTTCTATCTAAACAAGAAAATGCTTAAATAAAGACAATAAAAAATTCAAATAAAAATTGCAATACATATAATGTCCATGTCCTACATATCACTCATAGATATCAACAATGTCAAACCCAAAGTCAAGTTAAGTCAGACTTGGCTGACATGTTATTGTACTAAGAAAACATTAAAATTCAAAAACAAATTTCACAGTGACAGAATAACTGTGCATAGTAAAATTCAAACCCACAAATTGATAGACTTGAATAATTATAATTTTACGGTGTAATGTCAGCTCAGGCAGCTTAAAACCTAGCCTTTTTTGTGCTATAACATTGAAGGATGAGACTGTCATTCCACAATAAAACTTTAATATCTAATTCATGGCTCAATGTAGTTGCTGAAATTCATGTTGTATTCACATTCAAATACAAGCTCCAATAGCCAATTATTAACAGAATAGTTATGACCTCACCTCTACAGTACTCTGTACGTAAACAAAATAGGAACTAGTAGCAGGATTACTTTTGAACATAAAATAATTATTTAAAATAAACCACAGTGATAAACTAATATATAACCATAATGATAATATATCCTGATAAATACTGACGCTGGCTATCCAAAGTATAGAGTTGTTTTTAGTGTTAGTAATCTTATTACTGTTTAGAAAGAAAAAGTCACTTACTGGATTTATTCTATTACAATCTGTAGCTAGTGTGAATTCTGAAACGGTCCCATTCTCTTGTCCAATAAATAGCTGCCTAGTTTCTGGCGTGTAGAACATTGATGTGCAGCCTGATGGCATGTACTGGCAAATGCTCGGCCAGTATTGACCCGAATCACGTTTCAGCCAAACTCTTACTGTCCTAATGTTAACAAGACATTTTTCAATATTTGTCGTGTTCACTACTAACTCTACATATTAATATCCAAACATATTGTAATTTAAGTTAAGGTTTACAAGCTTAACTATTCGGCATAACAATATTCCTTTTCAACACCTAATAAATTAACTACGATCGCAATAATTTTGTTTTTAGAGAATCGTTATCAAACAATAAGTAACAAGGAGTCAGATCTCTTACTTATCATCGCAAACGCTAATTACTCCATCCTCGCCAGGTATCACCACAGCGGCGTTCACATCGTCAGTACAACCCTCTAGCTTGCTTAAAAGTGCCGGTTTTTTCGTGGTTGAAAATCTATCATTGGGTGTCCTCGGGGCAGGTTTAATTTCTGCAGCCATTTTTTAAGAACTTTTAGTGAAATTGTACAAACAATCCCGAAAAATTCAAGACAAACTTCTGATCAGCAAAAAAACGGAAACGTCATAATAAATTTGACAACTGGAATTCTATTTTTTAATTTTCTCCATTTTGACGGCAAAAGAATTATATGATAAGCTATACTGTTAAATTTGGTATTTTAATGTTGATGGCTAAAAATTTAAATTAAGTGAAATTAAAAAGATGAAGCGTTATGAAAAGAAAAGCTATTTGTACGCAACTTGCATTTATCACACAAATAGTCTCTCAGATTTAGGGGAAAATGTTCACCTTAGTGAACTCATTCACCAAGTCTTGTTTCGTTAACTAAATCTATTTAATGATCTGATAAAGATCTTTATAAGTAAATGTATATTTAAAAATGTATTAAAAGGTTTCTCAAACTTAACTCATTCGGGTTGTATTTATGAAAATGAGTAAGTATCGGGAAATGTAACCAATGGCTTTGATCATTTAACATCATTTTGTTCACTTGAAGTAGTCGAGCAGCATAAGTAAATATTTTCCATTGATGTATGATATATACGATTTCAGTTTTGCAGGACATTAAGCATTATGCGTGATTCTTTTGCATGTCAATTGGGCGAACCAAAGAATCTGCAACATTATGTCACTTCGTGTCACCCTGCCACGGCCTGTGACCTTCTTTGACATTGGCATAGAATCAGACTTGGCGTAATATTTTATGACGTAGGAAAATAAAAATAATACCAGCCCTATTGTAAGTCCGAGAAAAACACAGGATAGGAATCTAGTAAATTTGTTTTATGGCTTTGATCTAAAAATTAAATAGTGTGCTCTCCAGTTTTTGCAAGTGACAGACGTAACAAAACAATTTTTACAGGCTAATAATAATCAGGAGCTTGTGACATTATTTGCATTAGCAATTGCGGTTAATTAGAAATATCTTTTTACGCATATTAAGTGGGCTGGAATTAAATTAACAATAAGTAGGATCTCTATGGTGGTTGGGCTATTTTTTTTAAAGTTGGGGTTTAACTGCTGCTATTCAGCGAGCTTAAATGAGTGGTCATAAAATTCTGGACGCATATTGACAAACTCCAATCTTATGTGTCCAGTTATGCTGTCTCAACGCCATGCAATGAGCGCCATAAAAGTGCATCGTGTTAAACTTTACACACAGTTCCTTAAAAAGCAAAGTATCCGGGGCTTGGGATAAATAAACCTTTTACCGAAGTACAAATTAAAAACTCTATTCAACACTTAGAACCCTTAATAAAGTTATTACACTTGGCTGAATACAGACGACTGAATTCAGACGACTGAATCAGACGCCACTGAATTCAGTCAAGTGTAATAGCATTAAATAAGTTAGTCTACTGAATTCAGTAGCAAGGATGGTTTCTGACTGACTGAATCATTTAGAAGCCTAATTAGAAACGCATTTAGGAAGGTGTAATCGCATTTAGTTACTGAATGGCTTCAGTCGGCCCATAGCTCTCCGTGCGTGAGGACGTTTTAGTTTGTTTTTTTGGCTTCCGAATAAAAAGTATTAATTTCGGTCGCCTTTATTTAATGTGTCAGACATTTATAAATAGCCCGACATGTTTCAGGGATAGTTTTTGTCATCAGGGGTTGGGATATTGAAGAACTAAATTTTAAATCTTGATATGAATTTCCTGTTGCAAGAAATCTTAATGTTACAACCAATCTTTCTTTTGGACTTATACTATCGTAGAATTAGATATGTAATAGTTATATAATAGACTATCGTAGGATAGTATCCTGCTTTTGAATAAACGGTGTCACGAGGTTTAATATTAGGTCAAACGAGATCGAATCCATTTATAGATAATTTGCTGGTTCTAAATCTAAGTCTGCTGGTTCTAAATCACTCATAATGTTCATATTTGCTAACATTCCGCACGGCAATAAATATTTCTTCACCGATATTCTTGTTTTTATTTTATTTTATTTTGAGAAATTGAAACAAAATACAAAAAAAAACAAAAAACAAAAAATTGTTTAGACAATACTGGGGCCATCCTCTTACGCACATGACACGTCTTACTTCGTCGCGTTTAAACTGACAATTGATTCAGTATAAATTTAGAACAGTGTAATCAGAAGATTCTAAATTTGCTTCTGAATTCAGATGACTAAATTCAGCCAAATGTAATAAGCCTTTAAGGCACATTTCACAATTCGTAATTCACTCTTCTCGCTTTGCTTCAGGTGTAACGTTTGCTGTTTCGCTTCGAGTAGAACCGATTACTAACTACCTTCATGCCATCTCTGGAACGCTAATACCCAAGACAAGTCTACAATTATTGAGAACATTCCCGGTAGTACTAGTCGTTTCGATATGTTTCTATGATATATCTGCTACAATGGTTTAATCTACAAACTGTACAAAGTGAATGGAGGAACATAGTCCTAACAAAAGTGCTTAGTAAAGGTCACGATCCTCAGAACTGAGGAATACGACGCACGGAGGAGGTACAACATGGGCGTACCAGATAGTCTAGTGTTCATCATACCAGACTTCTTGTCGAACTGTTCGTCCTAGTACCGATTATAGGGAACCCACTCTCTCCCCTGTAAAATCTCGGTCGGAGTCCCACAAGGCTCCACTCTTTTCCCCGTTACTGCTTTATTTTTATATCAATGACCGAACGACATACAATCGCAGTCGCTCTAAGCACGTCATTCCGGATCCTCCCGATCCACTCTCGGTGCTTTTAGGTGTTTAGGTGTTCCAAGTACTACGTGCTGTCCTCGTCGAGCCCGTCGAATATGATGAGAGCTTTTGCACGTGCAGCTTAACCAACAGACAGAGAGAGCTCTTTGAATTTCTCGCCGGATCTTCTCAGTGGGTCGCGATTCCGATCTGGTCGTAGATTAAACAAAGCACTGCTCTTACCACGGCAGAGGTTAGCAAAATCTCCCTGGCTGAGCCAGAAGGCTCGCATACACGTTCTGTAAAGTCAGTTTAACCAGTACTTAACCCGTTACTAGCATTAGTTGGGCTTAGCCCCGCGAGCTCCTGGAATTATGATGAATCGTTTATTACGTAACTCTAATGTTAGATGGGCACACTAGCTCAATATTGTTATGATCCGGAATTGATCTGACTACATATCGAAAAACTGTTGAAATACCGGGTAAAAAATTTATTCATTGGTATCCCAAATGTCATGTTGTCAAAATCGTATACAATAGATAGATAGATAGATAAGAACCTACTGCTCGGACATTCCTCGTCTTTTAGTAGTACCACATAGTTAGTTATAATCTTGCCAGTGTTGGACAGTTTTGTGAAAATGGCTCAAGCGTTAAAGAAATTAACTACCCAGGTGCTCAAGCCTAATAATGTAGACACGATCGTTGGTTGTACAGGCCTTAGAGCAAGCAGGTAAGGAACCGGCAACTTTGACTTTTTGTTAATTTTACGTAATAATTTTGTTGTGTTCCTAAAAATAGCAGTCGCTATCGTCAAAAACAATGAAAGTAATACAAAAAGTTATACGCTCTCGCACTTCGTTAAATTTAGTAACAATTATAATGCTTACATGCTTACTTGTCGGAATATTAAGAAAGGTCAGAGAAGACAGAGAGGCCAGGTCCCTGTAGTGGGACATTTCAGATTTTAATTGATGAATATTCATTATATAAAACTAGTTTTTGTGTTTTTAAATTACTGAAAAATACAAATTTCCCTACAGCACCTGGTGGAACAATGTTCAGATGGGTCCGCCAGATGTAATCTTAGGCATTACAGAAGCATACAAGAAGGACACACATCCTAAAAAAGTAAATCTTGGTGTTGGAGCATATAGAGACGATGAGGGAAAACCATTTGTTTTGCCTTCTGTCAGAAAGGTAAATTGATACTATACTATTTGAAGCCATTCAAATGAAAGCCCTGTTTATTAAGCTTTTGATTTTCCAAATTTTAAATATTAAAAAACCCTTTTAGTAGCTACTTATGTCACCAATGAACTATTCTATTAAATTTTGAACTTATTTGAGTATAGATATTATGAATCAGTTACTAAATTAGCCTGAAGACCTTCAAGAGGGTACATTTGTCTAGGTTACTATCATAAACCTTAAGAGACTGAAAGGATCGCAAACTTTTTAGATGGATACAGCACCAAAACCTTTATTAATGGATGCTGCTCCAGTACTAAGACCGATTGAAGTAGAAATTATAACATATTAAATGAGTTAAGTTATAGTCAAGAAAGGTCCGGGGGTCGGAGGAGGGCGTTTGTCCAGCTCCGGCCCCTATGAGGAGGCAGTCTCCTCCCGGTGATGGTCACGGGGCGAACTAAGGGGGCTGAGACTGCGCCGCACGCTACCGTCACTCTAGCGCGCTGGCACCAGGAGGACGGGACGACGCGTCGGCGGCTGCGGACTGCAATGCGGTCCGCATTTTCGTCGTCGCTGTCGTCGCCGAACATACTGTGGAAGAGCAACCCGGTCGGCGGTGTATCGCGTTCCGACCCGGCAGGCTGGTTCTGGCCCAGCGGGGTATCCCGGAACACCAGCGGCATCGCCCGGGCGGCCTGAAGGGCCGCCGTACCGCGGAGACTGACGTCGTTGGTCGTCGACTATCGCCTCGACGACCCGTCGGTCGGGCGTCCTCGGGGTGGCGCCGCGTGTCTGGTTGTAGTGTTGACCGCGGGAACCCCCCTACTCTGACCGGGTTTTGACCCCGGACGGAGATCGGACGCCGGGTGTAAGAGTGCAGGGGAGTCGTTTAGTGGGTGGGCCCTAAATTCCTTGGGCACGCGGTCTGCTCTCAACACCTGCAGATCGTTGAGTCTCACATACCCCGCGCGCCCCCTAGGCGCGGGGACCTCGTAGGAGGTTCGGCCCTCGGCCCGGAAAAAAAAAAAAAAAAAAATAGTCAAGAAAGGTGATATAAACATGTGTAAACTAGAGCATTCTTTGGAGTGGGTATCACTACATAGTATAAAACAAAGTTGCTTTCTCTGTCCCTATATATGCTTAAATCTTTAAAACTACGCAACGCATTTTAGATGCGTTTTAATAGATAGAGTGATTGA